CAATACTTTATCATTTTACTCTCAAAAAAGATACTGCTGGTGCCTGCATCATTCTCTGCAGTCTTTCACAGAGCCGAGAGCTGAAATTTCACATGGAAACGTTCCTTTTCAAATCTTTGAATTTTTGAGGCAGTTTCCGTTCAGCCACGAGACAGTCAAATTAACTGATCAAATAAGATTGTGGCTTGATGACATGAAAGGCATTCATTATTACTCAAGGGGGCTAAGTTTGAATTTGTGGTGTGAAAGAGATAAAAGGAATGTAATAAAATAAAATAGAAAGATGAGCCAAATTCAACTCAGTGCAAAAGTTATTAATAATAGTAATAATCTACATTTCACATGGTAGCTTTCACATGAGGAAATCTCAAAGCGCTCCACAGATTATCCTGTAAAATGAAGTGACTGTATGTTTTGTTCTTGGAATTGTGTGTTTTGTTATTCCTCCACCAAAGGCAGGTACCTATAGCAACCTAACCCTAAATCCTTTTGAGGGCAACAGTTCAGAGTTTGACAAAAGTCTTTTCGCTTCATCTTGTAATCTGAAAATCCCAACTGCTTATCTTGCATCTTTAATTTTGGAGCACGGCGATTAATATTAATTCAGCTTTTGTCATCTGCCATTGCTCTTACAGTGAGGGCTGAGTTTGAGACTTGAAGGCAAATGAACGGTTTCCCTCCCACCTTGTGCTGCGTTAATCTATAATTCAGTGTTAGACTCCACACACCAGGTGATCACGCAATTATAAATGTACATGAAGCCCCTTGTTGATTCTAGAACAAGGCAAGCGAGCTAGATGCTATGATAGGAGGATAGTAGAGTGGATGTTCTGGAAAGCTGAGATCAAATGGGCTAAAGGGCCTTCTTCATCTGAACCAACCTTGTGATCAGGTGAGGCATTCCCACTGGATCACAGAGGTTGATTTAAAGCAGGGGCATCAGTTCTCTAGGTTACTAATGGTCTAAACCCTATATTCAGTATTTAAAATAACCCATCAAAAAAGAAAGACACAAGCCAGTAGTAATAATAATAGTGATATTATAGCTAGTGGACTGTGCACTCTGTGTTGGTCAATACTTTGATAGTGTTATCTTTTCGTCAGTTAATGGCTCCACTAATCTATAATATAGATCATAGATTTATGGAATTATGCTCTGGACAGACACTGATATAAAATATACAGTTACGAGTTATCACTTTATGCCAGACATTTTTTAAAAAAAATATGACTTTCATCGAATCTGTGTAAATTTCCGATTAAAATAGCAAGTGAGCAGAGGAGGTTCCGATCTGCCACACGTGATTTTTCAACAACTAGTGTAGAATGAGCGAGTCAAACGCTTATGGAGCCGGGTTGGCTTCAAGTGTTATTTATGGGTTACCATACAGATTTGCTCCATCGATTACACTGAGCAGGGAAGATAGTGGTGGAAATCTAAATATAGACTAGTGCACATTTCCAGAGGCTATGCATTCCAGACACTGGCAAGATGTCAGTAAAAAGGTTAAAATGGAACGAGTCAATGAATGCAGCAATGACTTAAGAATCACTGGGGAGAGAGCTGGGATGTGCAATTGAAAGAAAGAGCTTGCATTTTATATGCCTTATTACGTTGAAATGTCACAAAATGCTTCACATCTGGTTACTGCCAAGTAAGTTCAGACACTGCATTTGTAGGCGAACAAAGCAGATTTTTGAGTCAGCAAGAAATCTTAAACAGCCACAATGTGAATAACCATTGAATACTGAGCACTGATGACCATGACGGTGGTGGAAACTCCTCTCTCTTATTGGAAAGTGCCACGGAATCTCGGACATCCACCTGAACAGGCAGATTTAACATCTCCATCATCTGCCATCGAAAAGATGGCACCTATGATGGAGCTGATAGGGCAGTATTCTAGTACTGAAGTAGCTTGAAGCTGCCAGTACTGGCATTACACCAGTTACAGTCAAATTGCTCCATTTACCTCATTGTCCAGCTGCCTCTGGGGTGAACATGGTATGCTATGTTGCTCTGGAGATTTGGTGTATGCTGCAGTGGGTATTATTGGTATAATATAATAATGCCTTGCCTTCATATCATTGCTAGAGCACTAAACTATTTCTTATTTACTTTTGCTGTGATATTTGCGGTTAAAGCTCCTCAGGCAAGGTTAATGTTTCTAAAAAATCTCACACTTGTAACTTGGATGTCAATACTGCGATGAATGAGGCACAGTCTCTGATTACATTATCATATGAAAAGGGGCACTGTTCTCCTCATTACAGTAATTAAAGCCAGTGAATGAACCTGTGTGTGCCTCTGCCCACAAATTAATACATTAATTTTGACCCTTCATATAATCCATCTAATACTGTCATTCCACTACTTTTTTTAAACCAATGCATCTCATTTCCCTTTAATTACACAGAGAATAACACTGTTACTAATAATAATCCTTACCCTTCCTATTGCGCCTTTCAATTCAGAAGGGCATCTCAAAGCTTTTCACCAGATATTCTGTAAATTGGAGTGACTGTATTTCTTAGTGAATATGCTGAAAATGTACAATTCAAAAGGGTTGGCGATTGGGGGAAGCAGGAGAGGGAAATAGGGTGAATGACTCACATATGTGAGGATGAGTTTCAGAACCTGAGATCATGCAACTGTGCTTTTTTGCTGTCGCAATCCAGTCTACGTGAAAGGTTGGTGTAACCTACATACTGTAAATCCCTTATCAGCGATGGTTTTTGTTCAGTCTATTAGTGGAGTGCTTGCCATAGCCACAGTGCAACGCCTGATGCCAAAATTAGTGTCATGTGATGGAAACAGATTCATAGAACATATGGTGCAAGACCAACACTAAACAACTGTCAGATATTAAGAAATTATGATGGAGAGGGGTTTGACAACAGGACCAGAGGTCTGGAGTATTTTAAACAAACAAGAGCTTCATTTCGCCCACAAAATATACAGTCAATTAATTTTACAGTATATTCTTTGAAGCCTTTGAGACAACTTGAAGACATGATAAGGCTCTATATCAAAGTGCAAAGATTATTATATTTTGTCATAAGAATTGTCTTAACAGCGTTGCATGCCTGGCTGTAATGGGAAACATGCAACTTTGAACTTATCAACAAAAGCACTTGTCAAAATCCATGTTTCAATCCAGTCAATAACACTGTTACTGTACTGTTGGGAGGGTGTGGGCCTCAGTACTGAACAAATACGCCACTGAAGTTTACATGTGCCAGTTCTGATCGATATGCATCCATTCTTAAATGAAAGTTACAGTATCACAATCCTCTGAGAATTGGGTTTCTACTAAGTTATAAATAATAATAATTATCCTTGCATTTGATATAGCGCTTTTCACGTCTTCTCGACGTCTCAAAGCGCTTCACAGAATAGACTGTAAAGTGAATTGACTATATATTTGTGGGCGAAAGTTAACAATTAATAACACAAAACCTGTCTTTAACCCATTGGACTTTCCTGATTCATAAAGAGCACACAATCTCTCTGCGAGAGTGAGTTAATAATTTTGTCATGTATGGAAGCTACAGCTTTCCATATCCATGCTACTTAACTGCGTTTACTACAAATTATCCATTCACAAGGCAACATATGCCAGCATTTGTTTTGCTGTTGAACCAATGTCAAGCTACCAAGTTAACGCAACACTCGGAATGACTGAAGAAAGTGTTTCAAAAAGTGTTTCAAAAGTCAATGCTCCCTTTTAGACAATCGATGCTGATTGTCCAGATTAAAAGTGAACCCAGTTGTGCTAACAGAGATGAGCCAAGCTGTTCTAACACTTCTAACACAATCTATTTTCAATCGCTTCATCTTTGAGTCTGCGGCAAGTGGCCATTTACTCAGTGTGTGGAAACGTGTAATGACATTTCTATTATTGGCAAAGAGTTAGCTCAAAGGTCATTGTTACCTTATGATGTGCTCTTCCACTCTACACTTACTTGTACTAAAATGCAAAGGTTATTGCCATTATTATTAATAATAAATCTGGAAGGATCACAACTCTTTCCATTCAAGGCTACCAGCGTGGATCAGTAGTATGGTCATGTGTCATTGCCTGACGTGAAACAATCTGTTTCAGACTCTGTATTGAATGCAAATCCTATGAGGTCCGTATCACTTGATCAATACGGCATTAGATAGTCTATGCAATATTTTTATTGCATTTTATTGTTTAAACTAATAGAGTGATACGAATAAATGTATTCCTTAGTCTTCCAATTTTTTTGAACTTATGCAGTATTGACAGATGCCTTATTGACAAATGAATTGCAATATTCGTCTCTCAAGCCCTTTACTTTTCATGTGATGGGTGGATTGAAGGAAGGGTAGTCTGGAAGAATGAGATCAGATGGACCAAAGGGCCTTATTCATTGAAACCGATCTTGCGATCTAATGAATTTCTCAGATTGGAACAGGGAAATCAAAATACTAGTCCAAAATGGGATACTTTATCAGAGGTAGTTAGTGGGTAAAATATGATAGATGAACGTGTGAGAGTCTGACATTCAGCATGCTGGGCGAAGTAGCAAAGATAATTGGAGGAACATTAACCACTTAGATTTGGAAATCAATGAAATGGGAAAGGACAAAAACAAACAGTGTTTCTAGTTATAAACAACACACAAAATACTGCAGATGCTATAATGAAGGGTCGTGGACACGAAACACTGACTCACTTTCCTTTCTCCATTGATGCTGCCTGACCTGCTGAGTGTTCCCAGCGACTTCTGTTTTTGTTTTCAGTGTTTCTAGTTAAATGGAATTCTATGGATGGATCAGAATTAGCTCTGGATCAGTTGAACGTTCATCAGGCATGTACTGCGTTGATAAATGTTGGACTACATCAGCCACGATACTGGTCAGAATTCTCTAATCATATTACAATTCATCGGCCAGGGTTGGAAAGAGTCCACACTTATTAATGTTCAAGTAGCTACAGTAAAAGTTGTTCAAAAAAGAAAAAGGTACTTACATTGCACAATAAGCTGCACAGCTGCTTCCCTTGGTTTCACATTAAATCCATTATATTGACTCGTTTGGCATTTATATATCCCATTCATATCCCTGGACACATTGACAATGCGTAGTAATCCATCATAACTCTCCATTTGCATGGAGCCATCGGGCATAGGCAGCTCCTTTTCCTTTTCCTTGTCGAACCTGGACCAAAGGATAATGGGTTTGGGCTTTCCTGAGACCAAGCACTGCAGCTCTACTGTATCCTCTTCTCGTGTAACCATCGGTGACCTTCCTTTTGGGACGGACAGGGTTGGTGGAACTTGCAAAGGGAAAGAAGAGAACTTAGTTTCACCCAATGGCTTTGGATTCCAAAGCTGCACAATGCAGACGACACAACAATTTGGCAATGTCCATCTCCATCATCTCTTAATGTATCCTAGGTTTTATTACTTTATGAAACCATGGAAAACATCTATTTTATTTTTGGATGTAACACTCAGTTCTACAGTGCGGCTGCTCAGAATGGCCTGCATCAAGAGAGCAGTGGAGAGACTGTAAAATAGAGCTAAATAATTCCTTCAAAAAAATAATAATAATAAATTGGTCACTTCAATCCACAACTGTTTGTGGGACACTGCTTTGTGGAATTGGCTGACGCATTTTGCCCACAATATACAATCAATTCAGTTTACAGTATATTCTGAGTATATCAAATGCAAGGATTATTATTACTGAGCAAAAACTCACCAGTACTACTGGAGATGTTCACATCAATGCTGATATCAGGCACTACTTGACTGTTGAGAGTCGCGACACAAGTGTACGTCCCAAAGTCTGTGAACCTCAGATCGATGATGTCCAGACTGGTGGTACCTGGTGAGACATCAGGGTCCGTGTTGGAGATGACCATTCGTTCCGAGCTCCGTAGGGGCCGTCCGTTCTTGAACCAGTTAAACGTCAGCTCTTCTGGGGGAATGGCCTCCACTTGGCAGGAAATCTTAACCTCGCGGCCGATTTGAATGTTGTCATCATCGTGGTATGGATCTGGCGTAATCCAGAATCGACCCTTTTTGAGAGCTGAGAAAAAAGAACAGAGATGTTCACTGGATTTGTTTCACATTAATAATCATAATAATAATCCTTGCATTTGATGTAACGCCTTATCACGCCGTTGAGACGTCTCAAAGTCTTCACAGAATATGTTGTAAAGTGAATTGACTGCATATATTGTGGGCGAAACATTACCATAGCAATTAAACAGATCTCCTGCTCTCAAACAACTGATGGGGAGAGTTGGTCATTTCACTAACATGTACAAATTCTACGTTCTTCTTAAGCGCTCAGGTTCTGAGTCAGTCATTAAGTTGCCCGCCACACAAATCTGACAAACGTTGTGTATAGAAGTTTTACTTGTGGAGTTTACTAATAAAATGTATTGAAACTTGCACACGTCTTGTCACCATTCCTCGTGCATGAGTCTTGACAGATTTGGCAGACCACAGTCTTGCCCAATCCTGTTCCTACCCAACATCCAAACACAATCATTTCGTTGTGGTGGGGTGGGTGGAGGCGGTCTCTGAGTTTGGATTGGGACCTCTGGCTGATTGTGCTCCCTAACCCAGGGGCAATGAGGTCAATTGTAACTGCGTTTTAAAACTACAAACTTCCACAATATATTGATTACTGCAGCTCCAGGAAGTTTCATCGAACCTTGGGAAGCTTCCCCAATACACTCACAAAAGACACCAGAGTTACAAATGCAAGCTGAACGGGAATGAGTTTTTGATCGGCGCGTGCATCTGCAAACTTGCTCAGTAAACTAAGCGCAGCATATTGGACACAGCTTACCCATATGGAAAATCAATTTGTTTTTAAAATGAATGTGCTCAACCGTAAACTGACTACTGTGTCAGCCTGGCACAGTGGTAGCGCTCTCATCTCGGAGTCAGAAGGCCGTGGGTTCAAGCCGTATACTTTGTGACACAGAATCACATCGTCTAAGCTGACACTCCAATGCAATGCTGGGGGGGGGGTGTTGCAATGTCAGAGGTGCCATCCTTCAGATGAGACGTTAAACTGAGGTCCCATCTGCCTGTTCATGTAAAGATCTCCCAAATAAAATTGGTCACTTACTCCATGGCAGTTTGTGGGACACTGCTGTGTGCAACTTGCTGCCGTGTTTCGTCCACAAAATACACAGTCAATCCCCTTTACAGTATATCCTGCAAAGCGCTTTGAGATGTCTCAACGTAACAAAATGCAAAGACTATTATTGTTACTCAATCAAATAGCAAGATTAGAAAAGTATGAAATAAAAAACGTGAAACTTAAATATTAATACATTCGTATTTTGAGGAGAGACGAATCCCACAAACTCAGTTAGATGCCAGTTTGGCTCAAATGGTAGAGCTCTCTCCTGTGTGTCAGTGATTGTGTGTTTGAATAGTCCATCCTAACACTCCAGTGCAGTATTGGCAGTGTACTGCATTATTAGAGGTGCCAACTTGCAGATGAGACCTTAAACCAATAGCTACCCTGTGTGTTAACTATGGATCTTACAACATTATCTGAAAAGAAAAGTGAGTTTCTCCCGTTGTGCAGGCCATCAATCCACTAGATAGATTGACTTTGTGGGACCTTGCTTGTGCAAAATACATGCCACAAATATAGATGGCTACAAATATAGTCACTACACTGTATAACATTCACAGATTAAGTCCTTCAAGTCATTTCAACGATAGAAGCACTATATCAAATATAGGCATTACAATTAGTTTTATTTAAATTCTACTGCCTGAATGTGTGTAAATGGTTAACAGTGTTTTGTCTTTCTTTTCTAAACGGAAAGTTTTGGCATATAGTTAAAGCAATCTAGTGTTCTAAAGGTTATTAACCGAGACACAACCTTAAAACAAGACTGTAACTGGGCCAACGACATTCAGGCAAAAAATTGAATCGTAAATATTGAATCAACCAAATAATAAAATAAAGCAAAAGTCCACTGGATTAAAATTCTCCATTTTAAGGGTGAAACCACTCAAAGTTCATGGGCTATGTCTTGAGGCAGTTTTGGTTAATTCATTCTCTTCAGTGCTAGAAAACATCTACGGGCTGGAAAATCTGAGGGCTGGCTTTATAAATGTGGATTGAAAACTCAGATAAGGCGAATAGAGATTGGGAGATAAATGTGGGGTTTGCACAGTGCAACAAGAGCTTCTGAAGCGAGCACACGTTTGCTATAGTGCAACCAAAATAATTAGCCTTTTTATGTCAAAAGGTTAAATATAGCACCAATTATTTTCCTTTCTCTCATAGAGGCCACAGGTAGCTTCTTAGGAAAGGTCTTTTAATAGCATCTTATCATGTCTAAATATCTCAAAGCTCTTCCTACCCAATTACTGTCAATGACACTTACTGTTTTTCTAGCTAAGTGCATTAGCCATATGGGCCCAGTAGGGTCCCACAAAACAGCCATGAAGCAAATGGACAATTTTATCTGGGGAATTTGTTGGCCAGTGCTCAGTGAGAAAAAACTGAAGAGTGCCACAGCAACTTTAACATCCACCTGAACAAGTAGACAGGACTTTAGTTTTAGTGTCCCATCTGAAAGACTGCATTTCCAACAACAATTTGCACTTGTATACACCCTTTACACTTTGGTTAATGGCTTGAAGCCCTTTGAAACCTGCCAACAGCATTGTGTCTGATCTTGGAACAGTTACAATTAGATTTAATGTGCAAGATTCCCAAAAGGATAGCATACCACACTGAAAGGATAGTACACGATAGCCAATTCTGCAGGTACTTGGATGCATCTTAGGCAGTCTGTCTGGAACTAGACATCAATTCCAAATGTCCCCAATCTCTTGTCACCAAATGAAATTTTGCTTCAAAGTAGAAACTGAGCTTGGTGGCCAAATGGTGCTGCAAAGGGTCGATCTGAGATATGAGCCAGGTTTCTGTTTGAAAATCCCTTTGTAAATCTAACAATAAAGCCAAAACACTTCAAAAGAACCAGAGAAGGAAAATCTGAGGGCTGGCTTTATAAATGTGGATTGAAAACTCAGATAAGGCGAATAGAGATTGGGAGATAACTGATTAAAGATTTTAATGCAATGGCATTGACAAACGAAGTCTGTCGATTTCACCACAAAACCACGTGGAAATATACTCGACCAAACAGTAATCCATTTCTTGGGCACTCCTTTGCAGAGATTATTTGTCTTTGCCATGCAGTGAATAAACATCATTTTACTTTAATACCAGCACATTAAATCATTTAACCTATTTACCCAAGTCTGACAGCAATCTGCAGTACATATGTTGTTGTATGCTATTAGTCCAGGGTTACAAAATACATTCCCACACTTATAAAGGGTTTCCAGTGCAGAACGCAGCAATTTGCTGAGCAGGATGTCATTATTTGTCAGCAACTCTTGGAAACAGTCCCTCAGACTTCACAACCTTCACAACCACAACTTACCAGGACTTTCAATATCTGCTCTAAGATCTTCTGCACGAGTTAAGTGGCACTGAATACTGAAGCTCTACAGTCAACTACAACAATGGCTGAAGTCTACCAACCAACTTCAGGCGGGGTTGCAGACTAGGGGTGAGTAAGTGTTCACAAGTGATCCGAAGCTCGACTAGAACTTGCTTTGCTTCAGGAAGTATAAAGCTGCTTCTTAAAGGTGTTTCTATTGCACCAAAAATTGGATTGAAAAGTAAAGAGAGCCATGATGTCTTTCAAGCAACAAGGTTTCGCCCAATTTGTAATAAAAAAACAGGAGTGGAAAGAGTTGCAGCAGAGAATCAAAAGCAGCTGATGGTAGCAAGTTGCTACCTACAGCAAGTATCTTAACATTATGACTCCAGGGAAATGAATGGGCCATTCAGCTCAATTTCCCTTTCGACAAGTGACAGTTGAAGTCGAAGTCTCACCAACACAGGTTTGCATTTCAGAAAGGATAAGATCCTGGAAATAGACAAGATCCTGGAAATTAAAAGGATTGTGAGCTAAGGTACAATGAGACAGATGTGCGAAGCGCATCCTTTGACATGTGGACAGGAAGATAAGATGGACTAACGGTTAACTCCTGCCTGAAACTGTTACTACATTATTACTGGCGTCATCGCATTGGGTTCTGCTGTCAGGGCTGACGAAAATGCTCATCGCAGTGAATAAATGTTATCCATAATGGATGACGGCATATTAGGCATTGGTTGAATGATCGTTTTGTTGCAATAACTTGTTGAAAACAGCATGGCTTAAGAATGCGTTTTGAAGGGCTATTGATTACTTATTTGGGCTGGAGCGGTAATCGCATACAGTCAGCTACCATAGAGCGGCCTACAGTGACGACCACTTCATCAAATACTCGTATGAAGTATCAAATGAGAACCGTTTAAAGGGTAACATCTTTTACAGTAACTGTAAAATCAGAGTAAATGAGAGTTGTGCACGGAATTGATTTTTCAGGAAAATAGGAAACCTCATGAATTCAGATTTAAAAGGAACGTACGAAGGAAGAATAAGAGGCAACTCTGTTCTGGAATCAGACTGAGTCTGAGGACAGCATTGCTGGAGCACGTCATAACAACATCTGATTGTTTACGACACTGGTTACGAATACAGTCCCTCATGCCCACCTCGTCATGAACATGACAGTTCTGCAACACTTTCTTGCTTTGTTATCAGTCATCTACGCAAGCACTCACTACAATCACAATCAATAGTGAGACTAGTTGGGTCGCTCTTCCAAAGAGCTGGCACATGCACGATGGGCCGAATGGCCACCTCCTGTGCTGTAAGACTCTACAATTCTATGAATAAAGTTCCATGACAGTCGCAGTTCAAGATGGACAGTGCCTCTTTCGTCCCTCCTTACCTCCGCCAAACTGAGAAGTGACCCAAACTCAGGAACCAGCATTGTATGTAAGTTCAACAGAGAAATATCATTCAATTGGTTTCAGACATTTGATCCGCCTTTCCGCTCGCTGAGATTGCTTGGATTCTAATTCCCTAAAGCCCACCAGCGTCTCATCAAAAAGCACCGGAACGGACGATAATCCCTCGT